CAAACACTATTTTGTTCAATTTACATGACCGAATTAATAGAAATGGATATTTTAGGTATTTTACATTTCATTTTTTGGTCAAATAAATTGACCAAAATAATAGCTAAAACAAATTTTATCTGTTATATTTTTGGTCAAAACAACTAACGAAAATAATAAAACATGGATTTTTCCTAGAAATTTGATGAATATTATTTTGGTTAAGGGTATTGACCGAAATAAGTAGTGTATGACATTTCGCTAGCATGTTTTCGATCAAAATGATTTACTGAAATAAGCATGATTTTTTTTTTTGAAAATTTGTTGAATTATATTTGAGCTAAGAAACTTGGCTAAATTTAACTTTTCATCTACTGACTATTATTCTATTTTCATTTTAGTCTAAAAAGTTTAATTTCTTTCAAATTCATCTATACACTTTGAAAATTATTTCAAATTCATCTATCTAACAAACTTCCGCTAGTTCTTTTAACAGAATCCCATGGCATGCTTATGTGACACCAATAACGTGACATATGCAGTTTTGAAAAAATATACTTCTTCCTTTTTGGTTTTGTTTCATTTTTTTTATTTGTTTATGATAATAATGTTTTCACTTTTTCATTGTGAGTTTTTCTTTATTTTTTATTTTTAAATTTGTAATAAATTTATATGTTTTAATTTTGATTAACAACTAAAAAAATCATCATTTTCATTATTATGATAAAATTATATCATTTTTTAAAGATTAATGTGAATTAATCTCAACTCTTAAACAAAGTTGGAGTTTCAACCTATATTTAAAAATTATATTTAGAAACTGAAATTTCAATTCAAATTTTAAAAATTTAATTTGTTTTTAAATTTAAATATCAATATTTAATAATAACATAAACTTTTAAATTTTAAATTAAGTTTTAATTAAATAAAATAACGTAATTTAAAGTTAGTACTCTAATTTCTTTGAGTTGAGTTGGACTTGATATACATTTTTCTCTTTCTTTTTTTCTATTTAGTTCAAAAAATTAATTTCATTTGTACTCTCTTTTTCTCAGATAACCTTTTTTTAATATTTTTTAAATTAAAAGTTTAAGGATAATTTATGTTTACTTATATTACCCTTAAAAAGAAATAAAAGGTGAAGGGATGATTAATTAAAGTAAATAAATAACAATTAGGTTAAAGTAAAAAAATATATTTGTTATTATCTATTTACTTTAATTAATCATCCCATTACAAAATGTATCTCTTCATCTTTTATTTCTTTTTAAGGGGAATACAAGTAAACATTAATTATGTTTAAAATTTTAATTTAAAAAAATATAAAAAATTATTTTGAGAAAGAGAGTACAAATAAAAATTAATTTTTTGCACTAAATGAAAAATATATATATATATATATATATATCAATCTTGACTCCAAAAAAAGATTGAAGTTTTAACATTAAATTACTTTTTTTTTATTTAATTAAAACTTAATTTAAAATTTAAAAGTTTATTTTATTAAATATTGATATTTAGAATTAGAAACTGATTAGATTCTTAATTTTGAATTAAAATTTAAGTTTTTAAACATATATTAAAACTCTAATTTTTTTAGGAGTCAAGACTAATCCACACTAATTTTAAAAAAAAGTGATATAATTTTATCCTAATAATAAAAATGATGATTTTTTTAGTTGTTAATAAAAATTAAAAGATATAAATTTATTACAAAATAAAAAATAAAAAAAATCTCAAAAAAAAAGCGAAAATATTATTAAGATGTACAAATAAAAAAAAAAAGAAGTACAATTTTTCAAATTGCATATGACACATAACTCGTGCTACATAATTATGCTATAGGATTCTGTTAAAAAAACTAACGGAAATTTGCTAGATAGATGAATTTAAAATGATTTTCATTGTTTATAGATGAATTTGAAAGAAACTAAACTATCAAGACTAAAATGAAAATAGAATAATAGTTAATAGATGAAAAATTAAATTTGGCCTAAGAAATTTGATTAAAATAAGAATGCAAGTTACAAAAAATAAAATAAAATAAAATTATTTATTGAATTTTAATCTATATAATAAATATTGTAATAAATTTTGATATTATCAAAAATTCAATTCTAATGTCATCAATAATATATAGTTTTTTTCTATTTATTTTTTTTCCTTTTATAATATTTAATTATTATTACACTGCTTTCTTAATAATTGTAATTAAATTGTTAGATATGAAAAAAAAAATGATGAAAACAACTCAATAATTACTTTGCATTTACAAAAGGAATCTAACATAAACACAAAAAAGGGCAAATTAATTCATATATATAACCATGAATAGAAGTATATAAATTAAACCATGCATGCAAAAAAACTAAAAAATATATGAAAAAATATAACTATGAATATAAATAGTAAATCATATAATATTTACCTCCAAAATGCTGCCTCAATTGTTCACCGAATTCATGAACCTAGAAAATAAAAAACTAAATCATTAGTAGAACACCAAAACCATAAAATTATAAAAGCAAAAATAAATTTGCATAAGTAAATAATTAAAAAAAATGAAAGTAAATGAGATTGGAAAGAAAGGAACTAGTATTAGTTTTGGAGGAAAATATATGAATATGAATAAAAGTAAAAAACATAGTACTAAAGAAAATAAATAAGAGAAGTGAATAAGAAAAAGAAAAACAAAGATGAAAACATGAAGAAGTAATGGAAATGTAAAGAGAAATGTTGAGAGTTAGAGAAATAAGAGATAAAGAGAAGTGTTGAAGGTGGAGAAGAAAGAAATGAAGAGAAGTTGGAGAAGTTAGAAATGAAGAGAAGTTGGAGAAGTTAGAAAATGAGTTTGAGTAGCAACATTTATATAGGCTAAAGTTTAATTTGGATAGTAGAATTGATCAAAATAAATGTGGCAGAAAATTCAAACCATTTCAGCCAAAAAATTCAAATGATAGGCAAGCAGAAACGTAAATTAAAAAATTAATTCGGTCAAATATTTTGATTGAATTA